TCACAAACCGGGGGAAGGCAGGCGTTTGGCCGTCTACGTCATCTGTGGGGCCAACCCGAGAGGTGTGCTCAGAGATCGCCTACCAGACTGGGCCCATCAGGTGAGTTCAGCGGAGGAAGGAGAAGGAAAAGGAAGAGCGCCCACGTAACAGCTGCAACAGGAGAGATTGAGGGAGCCCCAAATCAGAGTATCTGATGGGATAGCTCAGTGATTTGAGCATTGGCCTGCTAAACCCAGGGTTGTGAGTTCAATCCTTGAGGGGGCCACTTAGGGAACTGGGGTAAAAATCTGTCTGGGGATTGGTCCTGCTTTGAGCAGGGGGTTGGATTAGATGACCTCCTGAGGTCCCTTCCAATCCTGATATTCTATGATTCGGTAGCCTAGTAGTTAGTGGCACTCACCTGGGATGTGGGAGACTCCCATTCAGGCAGAGTGGGGACTTGAACCGGGGTGTCTCCCACATCCCAGAGGAGTGTTCCAACCGCTGGGCTGAGTAATGACTGAGGTAAGACCTTCCCCTGTGCTGCCTGGCTTCTTGCAAAAAACATAGGTAGCTAACCCCACAGCTGGGACTCACAAGCGGAGCTAGGCACCTCCCTGCAGCTCGGACGCAGGGGTGGGGCTTAGCACACACCCCTCTGGTTGGCATCTCCCATTGGCTCCATGCCTAGCACGCTGGCTTTTGTGAATGGCAGTCTAAGGCGCCTGTCTGTCCCCATTCATTGTATAGAGACCCCAGGCACCTACCTCCTGTGATTTTCTCAGCACCGAGTTGCTTGGTGTCACAAAGCCTAAGGACCTTTGTGACTCCAGCCCTCGCGCCCTCTATTACACTCCCCATCCCACCCCCGAAACGAGACGTCTTTCCTGAACAGCTTCCCAACAGTAGTCCTCCTTCGCCCCTCTCTCCAAATCTAATCACTGGGAGGGTTTGTCCATTCCTGTCTTGCAGACTCAAGAGGCTTTGTAGAGGCTTCCCCTGCAAGAGAGCACCCTCTGACGACGACAGAGATACATAAGCAACGACACATGCCGTAAGGAACCCCTGACCTATGCACACACTGGGTGCTGCTTCAAATGAATAAGCTGCTTTAGGAATAAAACACAAGCCTTTGCTCCTTGAGCAGAAAGAGGATCTCTATTTGCTGTCAGCAGCAGTAGTAGGGCTTGTATCTTTTCCATGGTCCCGCCACCAGAGGGCGATA